TTCTTTATTTCACTTAGCATAACCTTCTTTTCTGCCTGCATCTTTTTTATGTTGTTGAAGTACCCAATGAGTTCCTTGAGCATCCTAATAACCACTGTTTTGAACTCTGCACCTGATAGATTGCCAAAGTCCACTTTGTTTAGTTCTTTTCCTGGAGTTTTGTTCTGTTCTTTCTTTGAGCCATATTTCTTTGTCTCCTCATTTTGATAGCCTCCTTGTGTTTGTTTCTATATACTAGGTAGAGCTTCCTTGACTCCATTTTAGTAGTGTGGCCTATTGTAGAAGAGCACAGCAGTATGCTGGATGGGGCAGAGCCTTAAGTAATCACCAGGGCAGGACAACCCATGTGAACCAGGTTGATGGAGTCTCAGCTTCGGCGTTGCCACTCTGTGGCTCTGTGTGTGGGAGATTTCAGAGCAGGGACAATGCCACTGCCTAGCCTCTAGAGTTTTGTCCAGGAGGAAGCTGTCCCCCAGCACTTACCCTGATGCCAGACACTTAAATTTCTCCCTGTATGCCACTGGTTCCCTTCCAGCTGCTCCCCTGATGCTGGAGCCCAGAGGGAGTGAGTCTGTGTGAGTCCTAACCTTGTTGCAAGTCCCTTTAAGAGGAGGCTCCTGAGAATCCTGTTTCTTCTATCACCCCGGCTGGGGTTTTTACAGCCAGAAGTTATGTGGACTTATCTTCTTGGCACTGGAACCCTGTGTTGGGTGGTCTGGTGTAAGGCTATGATCCCTCACTCCCAAGGTATCCCTCTAATTTTTATCTAGCACATCTAGGTGTGGGACCACTGGTCCCATGTCTCCCCATCTCTGCCCCTTCTACCCATCTGGATGAATGTGGCTTCTTTAATTCCTTGGTTGTCAGGCTTCCATTCAGCTCAATTTGTTGACAATTCTGGATTACATTTGTTTTTTAGTTTAGTTGCAATTTTTGATGTGGTTGTGTGAGGAGGCAAGCCGTATTTACCTACACCTCCATCTTGAGCAGAAGTCCAAAAAGTCACATAATTCTAACTGATAATAAATAGGTACATTATTGGGCTAGCAAAAAATCTGTTTATTTTACTTTTTTCTGTAAAATAAAAGACATTGTTTCATTTTCACCAATGACATTGTTAAGTTGGGTATTTTGAGTATGTTGGCTGTCTCCTGAATGGTGTAATGTTGATTATTCTCAGTTAATGTCTCAGTTTGATTGCTATCAACTTCAACTGGTCTACCCAACTGTAAAGCATCATCCAGTGAGAAATCTCCAGCATGAAACTTTGCAAACCATTTTTGACACATTTGATCACTTACAGTACCTTCTCCAAACACTGCAAATCTTTTTTTGCATTTCAGCTGCATTTTTATTTTTCTTGAAATAAAGAATAATGTGATGAAAATGTGTATTTTCTTTCATCTTCAATATTAAAATGGCTACACAAAAATTCACCAATTTTGATAAGTTTTTTTAAAAAATGCACACTGTTACAGCTGTCACAATACAATCTAACAAAATTGTTCAGAATGAAGTTAAAGGCAACTAAGTGCTTCTAGAAGAAATTTTTGACCAACCCAATTGTTTCCATTTCTCACCCACTTTTCACTAATTTGCCTGGACAAAACATTCTTGATATTACTTTTCATTTTTGCAGTCAGTATATTTTTTCAAAGACTTAGTGAATGGTAGGTTGAGAATTAGAATTTTAAATGTTTTGCTTTAATCTCTTCCTACTGGAAAACATTTTTAAACAGCTAAAAACATTTGAAAAATCTACATTAATTGGATAATTTGAGATCATAACTAAGACTTCAGATGAATCAGAGATTAAATGGCGTTTTCTAAGCTGGAAGGGTCTTTGGTGATTAATTACAAAAACAAGATTAGTTTCCTGGCGTTCTCGTTCAACTTCAAGGGGAAGCTTGTTTGAGTGGGGGAACCTAAAACAATCCAATTCCAGAAACAACAAGAAAACAGGCATACTGTACTAAAAAGACAGAGAATGCAATTTACTCTTTTTCCTGGTTTATCAAAGAAAGAGCAATGAGATAAAGTGATTTAGTGAACAGAGAAAGAACAAAAGGAATAGGGAGATTTAGAAAAGTTTCTAAAACAAAACAAAACAAAAAGTATAGTATCTCTCCTCTCCATCTCCATCTCCATCTTTATTTAAAATTAAGTATTAAAGCAGTATAATATGTTCAATGTCAAATGAATAAGTAGACCTACACTATCCACTATGGTAGCCATGACCACATGGCTACTGAGCATTTGAAGTGTTGCTTGTGCGATTTGAAGACAGTACTGAAAAAAATCTCCTATAATAGTCTTCTTGTATTGATTACATACTGAAATAATTTTTTTCATGTTTTGGATTAAGTTAAATAATTTATTAAATTCTTTTTGCCTTTTAAATATGGCTACCAGAATATTTAAAATTAAACATGTGGGGTTTCCAACCAAGATGGAGGCATAGGTAGATATGCTTCACTTCCCTGCACAACCAAAAAAAGGATAACAACCAATTTAAAAACAAAAAACAACCAAAATTGCCAGAAAATTAAACTGTATGAAAGTCTGACAACCAAGGAGTTAATGAAGAAACATTCATCCAGACTGGTAGGAGGGGTGAAGATGAGCAGCTGGGAAGGAGAGGACATGAGGCAAGTGGCTGGAGGACCGAAGTGGGTGAGGCAGCAGCTGGTGGAGCAGGTGTTCCCACGTTCACATGCGGATAAACTGGCAGGAACAACGAGGGAGCAAGACAGACTGTGCAACCCAGTGTTCCAGTGCTGGGAAGGGAAGCTTCAAAACCTCTGGCTGTAAAGACCTGTGGGGTTGCAGTGGCAGAAGGAACTGCCAGTCTCACAGGAGAGTCCCATTGGAGGAGCCCACAGGGTCCTAAAACATACACAAGCCCACCCACTCAGGAATTAGCACCAGAAGGGTACGAATCACTTGTGGGTAGCAGGGGAAGTGACAGGAAGTGGGATGAGAGCAGAGCCAAGTAGCATTGTTCCCTCTCTGGCCCCTTCCCCACATACAGTACCACAATGCAGCAAAGTAGGTTGGCCCATCCTGGAGAATACTGAAGGCTCTGCCCCTTACAATGTAACAGGTATGCTGAGACAAAGAAATGTGACCCAAATGAAAGAACAGATCAAAACTCCAGAAAAAGAACTAAGCGATGAGGAGATAGTCAACCCATCAGATGTGGAGTTGAAAACACTGGTAATCAGGATGCTCACAGAAATGATAAAGTATGGCTACAAAATAAAGGAAGAAGTAAAGGCTATACAAAGTGATATAAAGCAAAATATACAGGGAACCAACAGTGAAGGAAAGGAAACAGGGACTCAAATAAAAGATTTGGAACAGAAGGCAGAAATAAACATTCAACCAGAACAGAAAGAAGAAACAAGAATTCAAAAAAAAACAAGGAGAGACTTAGGAACCTCTGCGACAACTTTAAATGTTCCAACATCCAAATCATAGGGGTGCCAGAAGGAAAAGAGGAAGAGCAGATATTGAAAACTTGTTTGAAAAAATAATAAAGGAAAAGTTCCTCAATCTGGTGAAGGAAATAGACATGCAAGTCCAGGAAGCTCAGAGTTCCAAAGAAGTTGGACCCAAAGAGGGCCACACCAACATACATCATAATTAAATTATCCAAGATTAAAGATAAGGAGAGAACCTTAAAAGCAGCAAGAGAAAAGCAGAGAGTTACATATAAAGGTGTTCCCATATACTATCAGCTGATTTCTCAAAAGAAACCTTACAGGCAAGAAGGGACTGGAAAGAAGTATTCAAAGTCATGAAAAGCAAGGACCTACATCCAAGATTACTCTATCCAGCAAAGCTACCATTTAGAATGGAAGGGCAGATAAAGTGTCCCTGATAAGTTCATCATCACCAAGCCCTTATTATATATAAGGTTAAAGGGACTTATCTAAGAAAAAGAAGGAAGATCAAAATTCTGAACAGTAAAATGGCAAAACACTCACAATCAAAACTGAACCTAAAAAGCAAAATAGAAACAAACTAAGCCAACAACTAGAACAAGAACAGAAAGAATTATAGAAAGAGAGATCACATAGAGGGTTATCAGCAGGTAGGGAGTCGGGGGAGAATGCAGGGAAAGGTACAGGGAATAAGAAGTGTAATTGGTAGGTACAAAATAGACAAGGGGAGATTAACAATAGTACAGGAAATGGAGAAGCCGAAGAACTTTTATGCACGATCCACGGACATGAACTAAGAGGAGAGGGAATGCCGGGGGTCGGGGGGTGTGTTGCAGGGTAAAGGGAAATAAAGGGGAGAAAAATGGAACAACTTTAATAGCATAATCAATCAAATATACTTAAAAATAAAATTAAATATATGGCTGACATTACATTTTCTACAGGATATAGCTAGATAAGACAGTAAGTGTTGTAAAGCTAGGATGAGAAGAAATCACTATGTATTGAAGAAGGCTTCATGAAGATATCACAACTTAAAGAAAGAAAAGGATTCAAGGAAGGAGAGAAAACTAGAGGTCCCATATTACATGAATAGAAAGAAGAGAGAGCTCTCAAGCTCACCAGATAAGGGAATATTCTGAAAGAAATTAATTCTCCTCATGTGATATTAGAAGTATTTAGTCCAGAACAAGTCATAGTTCTGAAAACACACATCTACTGAAACAGCAGAAATCAAGCAGACTACTGACTACAATGAGCTAGTTAGGAAGCTGTAAAATTTGTGAGATAGAAAAAGGAACTTGGATGGTTTTGTTCACTGCTCTATCTATACTGAAAAATGCCAGGCATGTAAGAGACACCTAAAATAAATATCTGTTAAGTGAATGAGTGAGCAAATTAACTACTGCGGGAAAGGGTGGTGCTTTCCAATAAATTTTAAGGCAGGGACATTGGGAGAGGCAGTAAAAAAGGGAGAATGTTAGGAAGGAGAGACTAAACATCCATACTAGCACCTGCCAGGGCCTAATTACTCTCACTTTTTGTATCATTCAGGAAAATGAGGTACAAAACCAATCCCTCTCCCAGCTCTGCATAATTTTGGATCTACTACCTGAGGACTTGAAGTGAAGAACTAAATGAGCCTTCCCCAGAAACCCAACTGCAATTCAGCTATAAGGAAAAGCAGAAAGAATGCGTCCACATGGGTAGGAATACCCCTGTCTTCTGGGGTCAGACACAAGCAGCAGGGGCAGCACCCGCACTACAGACTACTGGGTGGTCTTCCTCACAGGAAGAGGAAGGTTTTTTCCCTTCTCCCTGTCTTCTCCCCTCTTTCCTCCTAGAATATTTAGAAATACACCCTGACATACAGAAAAATTAGAAACCTGACACAGACTGATACGGAAATGGTTAGGTGAAAAATGTGTGTGTATATCCAAAGGGGCAAGAGTGGAAGGGGACTAATTTCTGACGTTTTTACAATATTATGTACTACAATTGCACGACAGTAAAACAATATACACAGAATTCTGAAGGAGTAAATTGTGCACTACAAGTTTGTTACTGAGCTAAATAGTAATTTACACATGAAGGCAAAAGGAAGAGAGTTAGTTCATGTTTTATGAAAATTTGAATTATGACTATTTACAACAGTATGACATAGAATATCAATCAAGTCCTAGTTTATGCATAAAATTTTTTAAATATTATTACCAAAATGTAAAACTGTATTTCTTTCAGATCACACAAGAAAAATGTTAAAGAAAACATATTTGAAGTTGGGAAGAAACCAAGGAAAACATAAAGACAGAAAAGAAATAGCAAAAAAGCATTTTAAAATAGTTCAGATTGCCAATTATACAGTAAATACATTTTAGCCATTAAAAAAATCCCTTGGATATGGCTGATGCCCTGGCTGGTGTGGCTCAGTGGATTGAGCATGGGCCTGCGAACCAAGGGGTTGCAGGTTCGATTTCCAGTCAGGGCACATGCCTGGGTTGCAGGCCAGGTCCCCGGTAGGGGGTGTGTGAGAAGCAACCACACATTGATATTTCTCTCCCTCTCTTTCTCCCTTCCTTCTCCTCTCTCTAAAAATCAATAAATAAAAGCTTTTAAAAAAACATTTAAAAAATCCCTTGGATATGATTTTTTAAGTGTCTACAAGTGACACATTTAAAATAAATAGATTCAGAAAGCTTAAGAGAAAAAGGTAAAGATAAAACAAAACGGGTTACAGCAAAATACAACTCAAGACATAAAACATTTTATGAGAAAATAGGTTTGTTTTTTAAAAATCCACAACTCATACAACTTTATATGCTAAATGACAGTACCACTATATATATATATATATATATATATATATATATATATATATATATATATATATATAAGAAACTGCTAAATATGCAAAGAGAAATGGATATAAATTCAGAAGTACATAGGAAGACTTTTTTAGATATCCAAGTATAGTTGACAAAAATATAAATAAGATTAAATAAAAGTAATTTGATGTCAAATAATGAAGGATTTATATAAATGATATGAAATCAGATTTAAAGCAGAAATAAAATGATAAAAATTGGGTTTCTTAAGAATGCTCTTTTGTTATGTGAAAGATAGCGGGTGAAAGGACTGAAAATAGGGAGATAGTCTTCCTGAACGAAATAATGGTGATCAGAATTCTACTGCCCAGAAATACATTTCTAAGAAATGCTATCTTAAGAAAGGTTGGTTCCTATCTGGCTGTTTACTCTTTATAGTAAAAAGGGCTTTCACATTAGTATCACTTTTGACACTGTAATAAATAGGAAGGGACAAAAGAGAAACTCTTGGAAGCAAGAAAGAAGCATGACTCAAGGAGGGAAATTCCTGGTGTATAAAATGCCCTATATATGCCAAATAGGAATTTGCTACCATGCTCAGCACTTCTACTCCCTCCCAGAAGAGTATCGAAGCTGAAGCAGAAGCAACAATCATGAATGTGAATGGCATGGCTATCGTCTTGGCTCTGATACTCTGTGCTACGGCTGTTCAAGGTACATGGTACTTTTCACTTCTCAACCTATAAATTGCTTTTCTCATTCTGCAAATGTCTTATTAGAAGTTATTACAGGTTTGACAGAGAATGTAAGAAATGTCTGAGGCACTAGAGATAACTGTGGAATTTTTGTTTGTTTTAATTTGGCTACAAAGTCTGGCAAGAGCCTAGTAATAGTTTTAAATGTCTGTTAAAAAGATTTTTGTGAGATAACGTTACTAGCTTCCTGAAACAAGTCTTGAGCATAAAAGCAAGAGGCAAATAAGCTTGATCTGCAACAACTTCTTTCATGGTGTCCACTATTCTTTAATGGTTTGCTTACAAATTTAAAGAGAAAACCATTAACATCTTAAGCTTTCCCAACAACAGCAGTGTCAGGTGCTATTTGGCAAATTACCATTTTTGTCCTTAATAAAGACTTGGCTCACTTCACCACCAGGACTATAAACCATAGTCACCTGTTGCAGTCACATCCATCAGTAACTGCTGCTGTGATCTGTTTTAGGTTTCCCAATGTTCAAAGGAGGACGTTGTCTTTGCATAGGCCCTGGAGTAAAGGCAGTGAAAGCGGCAAATATTCAGACAATCTCTGTAATTTTCCCAAGTAACTACTGTAACAAAACAGAATTGATGTAAGTAATGGACTTGCTAACGATGACAATGGTGGAGGCATTTGGGGTTTTTTTGTTTGTTTATGCTTTTCCATCCAAAATTTAAGACTATTTGCATCTTCCCTTAATAGTATCACCCTGAAAGCACGAAAAGGACAGAGATGCCTAAATCCCCAATCGAAGCAAGGCAGTATTATCATAAAGGTAGGTTACCGGATCACTTCCATTTTATAACGTTTAATCCAAGACAGATCTTTTGAAAACAACAGACGACTGCAGAAAGATCCTGTGATCTTGTGTGAATTGTTTTTATAAGGGATCTTTGGTTACAATTAGTTTTTCTTTCTTGCTTAATGTTTTACATGTCAACTCTTAATCACTGGGAAACAAGAATAGCCCAGGTTTATAAAACTCTCATTTTCTCATTACAGAAAGTTGAAGAGATGAAGTCTTTAAAACATCAAAACATCTGAAGTCCTGGAAAAAAAGGATATGAAAATTCAGAACAAATTTAACTGTTATGATGAAATGATAAGAATTCTGTAATAGGGAAATGACTTTCTGTTGTCTACTGCAATGTACCTTCATGCATTTGTAGGTTAGGGAAACTTGTAGAAGATTTGATATTTATAACTATTCTGCTGTGACAATGAAAACATTTTTAAGTTATCTGTTTGTACTTGATCTATATTATACTTTAAAACCTGCAGTTATAATGGAGACATTAACATTATTCTGAAGTCAATATTTTATGAGTCAAAAGCATCTATGTATATAATGAACACTCCCCCCAGTTTTTTAATGGGAATCTTATAGCACATATATATCCAGGAAAAAAGTTCTTATATGTCATCTTGTTTTATAAAAAGGCTGTAATTCATGAAATGAACTATGAAAAAACTGTAAGCTAAAGGAAACTTGTCAAAATGCAAATACTTCATAACTGAATCAGCAGCTCTGGTCTCAATTTGATTTTAACAACTCTGTTTCTCAATGAGATGTTTTGAAGCAATTTCAGATATGTGTGTTTACTGTGTATTTTGGTTTCATCTATTCTTATAAATTATAGCAATATTTTGGACATATTTTAAATATAAAATGTTTCTGTCTACCAAAGAATATGTTGAAAAAGAAATGTATGTACATATCTGGCAATCATCTTTACTTTCTGTGAGTTTTTTTCTTAGGAAAATACATAATCTTATCTTTTTAAGTCATGCCCCTCTATACAATGTAGGAATATCTAAGATAATTTTATTTTAAAAAGAATCAAAATCATTTTCCTCTAAAAAAGTACTACAACCCTTTTGTCAATGTAAGGAATATCCAAGCCTATAGAGAATTTTTATGAGTTTACTTAAGCAAAACTGATGACAACTGCCAGGAAGCAAAATCTCAATGACTGAGAAAATGCTCCAGAGAATGGCCATTTTGCAGCTTATTTTATACATTACAATGAAAAGAGGAGAAGTAAGGAGGGTTATGTGACATCCGCTGGTGGTAGATTAGGGAGGTGAGAGAAAACAAAGAGGGGAAACCTCTGAGACTGGATACAGAGTAAAATGAAGTGTCTGTAAGTGCCCATCAGCAAATGAGTGGATCAAAAAACTATGTACATTTACACAATGGAATTCTATGCAGTAGAAAGGAGTTTATACCCTTTGTGATGGCATGGATGGAGCTGGAAAGCATTATGCTAAGTGAAATAAGCCAGGCGGTAAGGGACAAATACCATATAATCTCACCTTTAACTGGAACATAATCAACAAAAGAAAAAAGCAAACAAAATATAACCAGAGATACTGAAATTAAGAACAATCTAACAATAGCCAGAGAAGAGAGGGGAGGGGAAAGTTGAGAGGAGGGTTATAGGAACTACTATAAAGGACACATGGACAAAACCAAGGGGGAAGGTAGAAGGGAGGGAGGGAGGTGGGCTTGATTGGGGTGGGGGGGGAGGAGTGGGGAGAAAATGAAGACAATTATAAGTGAACAACAATAAAGTAATTTTGTTTTAGATTTTATTTATTTATTTTTAGAGAGGGAAGAGAGGAAGATAGAGAGGCAGAGAGAAACATCAATGTGCGGTTGCTGGGGGTTATGGCCTGCAACCCAGGCATGTACCCTGGCTGGGAATCGAACCTGGGACACTTTGGTTCCCAGCCCGCGCTCAATCCACTGAGCTACACCAGCCAGGGCAACAATAAAGTAATTTAAAAAATAAATAAAATCAAATACTGAGGTAGAGCTTTAAAAAATAAGTTATTAATCCACCAATACTTAATAACTCTAACAACAAAAGAAATAACAAAGGTGCTCTTTGTAACTATAAAAAAGGGTAAAATGAAGAGATAAATACTTCTTTTATATTTGCGGGTATAGGATAGTTAGCAATTAATATTTAGGGCACACAGAGATGATATCTGGATGACAAGATAGCAAGACCAGTCCCATGGTCTGTGCTCTGGTGGGAGATGGTGCTCTGAGGGATTTGGAAAAGGAAATTACTCTGACATTTCAAAGGTATGTTGTCTGAGATGCAAAAAGACAATAGACAGGCTTAATTAGTTAAGATAAAAATTGACCTTTGTCAAGGAAGACACAGGCCTAGGACATGACCACCCACCATGACTCACTTTTAATTAGGAAGTTTTAATTTCAGACCATCCTATGTGGTTACTTCAGTCTCTGAGTTTGTAAGGCCCACTGTGCAGACCTCCTCTGAGAGCTGATCAGGTTTAGTATGTGGTCCCTTCCTTTTTTGTCCACACTTTGAAAAACAGAAACAATCATGTCTTTCAAAATGTTGGTACATCTTCGACAAGTTCACCTTATATTTCAAGAAGCACGCAGCTACCTGTCATGGCCCAGAATTGCTTAGAAATATATCTTAATGAGTAATTGTGAAAGAAAAACTGTCTTTCTTTTTAAGGGGTCTTCCTAAGTCCAAAACCCCTTCTTATTTGGGGAAAATCCCTTATTATGTGAGTCTTGGTGAGAGACCAAAAATGGAAGCCAAAGGAAGATCCCTTCTGGCAGCCAGAACAAGGCCTCAGCCAGGCCACTCTTACCCTCGACTTTGAACTCCAGCTGGCACCTCAAATATACTATCAGTAAGAAAATCATTTAAACTGGCAGTAGTTGCAGTGTAAGCCCTAACACGTGTTTGCAAAGCACGACTAGCTTTTCTTTCTTGCCACCTAGCTCCCTTTGGTTTTTGTCCATTTCCCAAGCCTAATTCTTCAGTCTTCCTTTGGATTCTTTAACTACCATTTAAATTCCTTTTCTTCTGAAACTAACCACAGTTGATTTCTCTGCTGAACCCAAAATCTTAGCTGATACAGCACTCTTCATATAGACACCCATATATTTGAAAAATAAAAATATTACAGAATTACCAAAAAAGGATACTGTTTGAAAAAATAATTTTTTATCCTCACCTAAGGACATTTTTTGTCATTGCTTTTAGAGAAAGGAAGGGAGAAAGGGGGAGAGACAAACACTGATATGAGAGAGAAGCATCAATCGTATGCTCCCAGACTGGGGGTTGAGCCCACAACCTAGGAACGTGCCCTGACTGGGAATCAAACCTGCCATCTTTCAGTTACAGGACAACGGTCCAACCAATTGAGCCACACTAGCCAAGGGCTGAAAAAGAAAGATTGATTTTAATGTATCTTGTGCATATCTTTCCCACTGATATCAAAGAGCTAACATAACACAGACCAGAGAACTGACAGAAAAGTAGAGCAGAGGAGGAAGCCTGGAACCTAACAGGCCCTCTTACTAATGGGTTCCTACAAGCAATAATGAGAAGACAAATGTTATTCAAGGAATTTGTATATAAAGCTATATAACCTGTATCATATATTTATACTATGACATATAATCTAGATACATAGTATAAACACATGATATATAATAAACAATATACATTTTTAATATATCACATAAATCTATAAATATATATTAAATATAGATATGTGGTATAAATGCATAATATATATTATATATCATAAAATGACATAAATTTCTATATAGGAATGGGACTTCTATATAAATCCCCACCTAATTTGAAGATTTGGATCTAATATTTGACTACTTACAATTATTTTTTTAGAGTAGTTTTGAAAATAAAAATTCAGTCAGGGCTGTATGGTAAATTTCTTGGGGGGGGACATGAATTTTACTTATTTTATTTTATATATTTTTCACCCTTTAGAGTAGCACACAGTTTATTTTTTATTGTATTTTTTCCATTACCATTTAGTCCCCTTACACCCTTCTCCCCCACCACAATCACCACACTGTTGTCCATGTCTCTGAGTCCTTTTTCCTTTTTCCTCAATCCCTCCATCCCCTACTCTCCCCCATTAGCTGTCATCCTGCTCTCTATACTAATTTGAAAGAACATAAACACCCCTATGTTCATTGCAGTGTTATTTACAATAGCCAAGAAAAGGAAGCAGCCCAAGCATCCATCAGTAGATGAGTGGATAAAACAACCATCGGACACTTACAGAATGGAATACTACTCAGTCGTAAAAAGAAGAAAACTTTACCCTTTGCAACAGTGTGGATGTACTTGGAGAACATTATGCTAAGTGAAATAAGCCAGTCAGAGAAAGACAAATACCATATGATTTCATTCATATGTGGAATTTAATGAACAAACCGAACTAACAAGCAGAATAGAGATGGACTCATAGGTAAAGAGCAGGATAAATTTTTTTAAGTAATGTAATATAGATCATATTACATCATTATTGAAAGACACCATATACTTAAATTTCTTCATGGCAAAGTAAACATACAAAAGAACACGCTACTTGAACTGTGATCCTTCTTATCTCAGTACCTTTGCACAAACTACTCCCTCTGTCCACTTCTTCACTAAGCTAATGCCTACTAGTCACTCAGTATATGTACTGCTGAAGCGAGCACTGCCTACAAGTCACTTAGATCTCAGCTTACATCACATTTCAACAGAGGCTGTCTTTGAAAGCACCCCTTAAATCTCAGCTATATTAGTCATCCTATTTGTTTCTACAACACTCTCTATTTTGCTATCACACTATTTACTGCAATTGTCACTAAAGAATTATTCCTGTGCTTAATATCTGCTCTTCCATAAGTGTAAGCTCAATAGGAAACCCACTGTTGTCCTAGCCCAGAGTACAGTTCCTGTCATGTATTTGAAAATGGAATGACTAAATGACAATATAAACTAAGGAGAAAGGAACTTACAGCAATGACATGAGAATACACAGTGGTGGGAAATATAAAGTGAGATAAAAATAATAATTTGATGATTGGTTTTGTTGGAGTAAAAGATGAAGGACATCAAATATCTAGCTGAACAGCCTTGAATTTTATTCTAGAATATGAGAATTAAATGTTCACAAATAGGAGGAAGGATGACTGTATCCAAGCTACTCTAAATCATTCTGGGAACAGCATAGAGAACTGATTGGAAATGGGAAAGACTGAGAAGAGATATGTTGTCATGGCTCAGGCCTCTATTTCCCAAACTTCAAGTCATTTTCATATCATCTTTACAAACTTGACCATATTTCTAATCAATCTTCATTAAATTTTGCAAATTCTGTGTAGCACTTATACTTTCACTATTATACATGTGAAATAATTATCACTTGCTATAGAAATAAAATGTAAAAACAAAAGGAAAATTAAAATGATAAATTTCAGCTAGACATTGTTGTATGCTAAAGGTTTGAAGCATAAGGTCTTCTCTATATTCTTTAGAAGGGAAATTAACAGAGAGAAAGAGATGTTTGAAAGCCATACTGATGCCAAATTGAGATTCTCTGTGATGTGATCAGGGGCACTAGGAGGTAAACAGAAAATAACTGACATTCAGTGTTGTTATCAGGGAGCCTAGCATTGTTGTACACTTTGGGAAACGCTGGTCTGAAACATAGTGAGTACAGTATGTTAAAAGAATTACCATATGACCCAGCAATTCCACTCCTAAATATATGTACTCCAAAGAATTGTAAACAGTTGTCCAAACAAAAATTTGTACACAAATGTTCATGCAGCACAATTCACAACAGCCAAAATGCGGAAACACTGAAATGTCCACCAACAGATGAATAGATAGAGAAAATGTGGCATATACACACA